TATACTCTGTTTTTTAACTAGGAAGACGGATTTAAAAGTTCCCGCAAAAAATCTTAGTTTCTATTGGCTCGCGCTGCGCCCGTTTTACACCCAGCTAAAATTGCCATTGACATGATTTTACTGTCAAATTTAATCGCGATTCTCCTCCGTAACTGTTGTACTTATTTTTCAGTTTTTCTGTGTTCTGAATCCATTTGTATAAATTTTAACAAAAAAAAGTTCTTTTAAGAACTAAAGTTGATATTTCGCGTCCAAAGTGTACTGGCATTAGTGATGGATTCAGTACCAGTAAAGCAAGCTTGTCTCCTTTGAAAAAACGTAGTCGCTTAAAGTTGGGTCATTTTATCAGTGTCCGAGAAGCAATTTATTATAAACACATAAACAAATGTTGTCTGATACTCCGGATATGAATTTTGCTACGCTTGTGTTGAAGATTGCATCTACCATAGGTAACGCAAATAATGATGTAGGTATATATTTGGTTATTAAAGTTTTACACATATTAGGATTTGCACGATCTACAGTATACCGGGTAATTAAAGAATATCGAAGTACTGGGATTGTTCCCTTCGAAACGTTCTGGTGGTCATAACTCTGTTGCAAATGTGAGCTCTGACGATTGGCGGAATTGTGTGCAACACGTTATTAAGGAAGAAAATAAGATGTGTAGATTGGATGGCCTAATGGATACACTTATAGAACCATTAATTATTTCACTCGGATCGGAGGACAGTGACAGTTTTAGTGAACCTTCGGAAGACAGTGACTCAATCCCTTATACATAAAGCAGTGAACTGTGCTGTTTAATAATATGAGTATAATTCCATTGTTCTGAATTTGTTCAATAACTTAGCATTTGTTGTAAATTGTAATGCGGATTGTGTAGTGTTACAACACCTGATAAAACATTTAAAACTACAATTCAAAATAATGTTTCAAATGCCAAAAAATGTATGCAGGATGATTACCTATTATCAATGTATTACCTATTTATTATAATTCGCTTTTAAACGTATGATGTATGCGTAGTATCACAGATTTAAATTAGTATATTTAAATCTGTGGTAGTATAAAGGAGTTCCTACCAAATAATGACCCAAAAGCATCAATAATGAAATCAATCTAAATGTGAAAGAAAATCACATCACACAACCCACAATACATGTCTGTATAATAGTACATTATATATCAAGGTAGAGAAGTCCACTATTATTGCCTGAGCACCAAGATTACATCTCGAGGCGCTTGCGCCGAGGGGTGTAAGGTGCGAAGGCAATAAGAGACTTCTCTACCGTGGTATATATACTATTTTTTTCACTACTAGCACTTGAAATCCTCTAAATTAACATATTATATTGATAAGAGAGTTAACGGTTGGACAGAATTTTTGTTTATTAATTTAACACGTCAATCAAGTACGTGGAAGTACAAGTCAAACAGGCCGTATTTTGTTCTGTCATTGAGATTTTTCAAAGAGTAATTTCGTTCGAATTTGTTCAAAATGTGATAATTTTAGGTATGTAATTTCTCTGGAAATTGTGAATGGTGGCAATTATTCGTTTTAGAGAACTGTCTAAACGTTCATTGAGCGAAATTTCGGGTTGTGTTTTCTAAAAGTGACAGCGTGACAGTTCTCATTATTGACTACTAGTTAATAATAAAAAATTATTAACCACTTTGAACAAATGCCGAGAAAGCCTACTTTACAAGTGGAAAAAAGGTTAATAATCATGTCATCAGACGCTAGTAGTGAAAAAAATCTATTATTTTTGTTACTAGATTCTAGTGACATTTACAGTGTAAATCAGGTTTTTAAATCCGTCTTCCTAGTTAAAAACAGAGTTTACTCCAATTTTAAACTGTCAAATATGTGTATTGTTCACATTGTTAAACAAAACAATGCATGTTCTTTCCAAATCACGTTTTGCAAAAGCGGTTTTTTCATTATTTTGACGGAACCTTAAAGTTGAAATATATCATATGATACACCATTGTAATCAGAAAAAGGAGATTTATTAAAAAATGTTAAAATCCAATATGGCTGCCATAAGATATAAAAAAGTTACCTACCAATTTTCGTTGGGCACCAAAATACGCAAATTTGACCCAATTTAAACTACATTGCATCTATCTATGGATAGTGTTCAAATCTGTGATACTAGGGACTACGTGAAGAGGTGGTTACCATAAAATGTGGCAAAAAATTCTAAACCTACAGCAAATTTTTTAAAAATGAACCTGAAGCCTTGCATTATATTGTTATACAACTTTTTGTATGCAAGAAGCACATTCCCCACTTATAAAATTTCTGAGAACATGTACAATTTTTAGAAAAAATACTTACAACCATCTGGATGCTCTTCAGTTAAAGAAGTAGGTTTTTCATCGCCTTTCTCCACGGCTAATGCTCGCTTCAGAATACTATCCGTCCTAATTCTCTCAGCGGCCGGCAACCTATATTTACCTTTACCGGCACGCGAGAGATTCAAATTAGTCAAGATACAGTCGAAATCCGTATTGTCATAGAAATCAGGTGTATAAACCTCCTTGTCACTTTTGTCTTGAGACAGCCAACGAATACGTATCCTGGGCGAGCTTTTGTAAATATTTTGTACCGCCTGACAAATGTAAAAACCTCCTTCGGAGTTCCGCACTGCTAAAAACTCGTTCCTAGAAGATAACGTTATTAATAAAAAAAAACCGGCAAATAGACACGTACTTGTAAAATATGATTAGCTTATCCTCATTATTTCTACTGCGTGGTGTTGTCGCAGTAATTTTAGAGATCATCTCAACTTCGGGTAACGGGCTTTGATACGGCTGCGTTTTAGTGCGAGTTCGTTTAGATTTGCCACCCGATCCTGGCGACTTTTGTAATGCTTTCGTTTCGGGTTTCACAACTTTGGGAGTTTCCGGGTCCGGCTTGGACACTTTGGGTTTTTTGGTTACGTTTCTAGGTGTCGTAGCTAATTTTAAAGTTGGTTTTTGATTATTCTGGAATAAACATTAATTGTAATGATGCAATTGCTGCAGAATATAAGTATAGGCAGTTTTTTGATTTCCAATTACGCCGCAATAAAAATACACCCTTAAGAAGGGGCAATTTCTGATGTACACTTTAACTAATAGTCCAAAGTATTTCGTTTGGGGGGGGGTCCCTGGTTTGAATCCGAGTTCAAGCATGGATATTTGTAAATGATATTTGGACTACAGGTTTGATGGCTCCGAACAATAAAGTGGCCTTACTGTGACTTGTGGAAATATTTACTGTATAAACACCACCAATAAATATTATTATTATTATTAAATGTATAGTGGGTTGGTTGACCTTGGATGAAACTTCCCCCACTTAAACATAAAGTCCAAAAATAAAAAAATAAATAAAAATTATCTTTTCCAAAATATAACATACCAGGGATGATATTAAAAAAAATATAAACAATTTCAAAGACGTTCAACTGATTCCAGAAACAAATTTTTTTTTAATTTCTAAAATTTTTTTAAGCATTATTGAATTTTTAGTGGTATATTTTTGAAAAGAAAATTTAATATGCTTTGAGCTTTGAAATGGGGTAATTTGCCATTTTTAGAAGTCGAGGGTCTTCGACGGTGTATCACAATACATGACATTTTACTTCAAAAATTAACCCTACAGTGGTCGCTACATTACTCATGCTCTGCAGGGGTTATATATGACCCTACGGGGTTAATTGAGAGAGCAGACTTCGACAATGCTGCAGTACTGAACTTCGCCCTTAATTTGAATGTTTTGGAATAAATCTTTCTTTCTTTTCTTGAATAATAATTATAATTTGATATATACAGTGCATTTATCTTGAACTGGAACATACGATATTGCATGCATTGTTCCCTGTTCCATTTAAAAAAAAATCGCATCAACCTATAGGAGTAGTTCAAATAGGTAGTAGGTGCAATGTACAACTGTCACCTTCAAATCTACAGCCCTGCAATAAATTTCAAAAATGCTCTCTAAAGAGATGAAAAATGAAATTATAAATTATACAGAGGTCACATCGCAAGGTTTCTTTTTTAAGAAGGGGCATGTCATATATAAAACCTAAGTAGGCTTGGTACAGTGCATGAGAAACAACAGGTATGTAAACACTTGTCATTATATTTACTTTCAGTAAATGCATTACATTATAAAAGCCTTAGTTTAATTAATAAATCCAAAAAACATAACAATGAAGACAGATAAATCAGCAGAACCAGAGATGGCGGGGTACATATGACACCCACCGTACCCACAGAGGCAACTGTGTGTCACCTAAACATTCAAGGTCGTCTGTGATGAATGAATGCTCGCCAGATCACAGGAAATGGGAAGAGATTGCTAAACTCGAAGCGTTGTTGGAGTCGGAATCCAACGACAGCAAGCAATAGAATAAATAACATTATGGCAATAAGGAAAGAACATTGCCGAGTGGCTGCAACTATTCTAACCATATGCTCAGTAGGTCATTGGCTTTATTCTAGAACCCTGGACTGTTCGATCGAGGGTATCCGGTTTAGGGGATACAAACGGAACCATTTTCTATGATTAACGACAAAAAAAAAACAACCTAGAACACGTATTTATGTACATAGCCACATCAGAGCGCTTATGTTGCCTCATCTGTGTGGACCTGATATCACTACAGTAGTTTAATTGTGACATCAAAGGTAAAACTGACCTATTTAATAGTCGCATCTCCCAGGGGATTCTGTTTAACCTCCTCCCAGCAATGAGATGGCAGAGTTGATAGAGCACTGTGCAAGAAACCATCAACATCTGATTATAGGGTGTTATTCAAATGCTCACCACACTACATGGGGGAGCACCCTAGAAGTAAATCATTACTCGAATATCTAACAAGTACTAACCTAGAAATACTTAATCGGGACACTGAATCTACCCAATGTCAGACTATAATACAGATATTAGTCTGATCTTACTAAGTATCTCAGTGGTGAGCTGGCAAGTCTAAAGCAACTTCAAATCACAGAAGGATTTCTTTTGAAATAAGCTATCAAAAAGGACTATTGAAATCCAAAGACCTACGAACAGACATGTCCTCTGAGGACTGTCCAGCAACCCTGCAAACACCCCTGGTGGTGCAAGGCGCTCGTGAAGCAGAAGACTGGGCAAACTGTTCAACAGAGCCAAACAAAATAAAAGCACAGAAACTTACTAGTCGAAGGAAAATGTCTAGCATTGACTTTTTGATAATTTTTAGTTTCTTTCTGTCAAACGATTGTCAGATTTTTATTCAGTAGGAATTGGAAAAGTGGCAGAAACTTTATACATTTGGGTTGGTAAGAGAATCTAGTTGGCAAATATAATAAATCCGAAATAGAACTTAATGACCGTTAATTATTGGAGACATTATTGCCTCCAAACGAATCATTTTGAATCCTTGGTTTATCAGAAAAAGTATATGTTTTGGTACCCAATTTGTTTTTTGTTTCAATGCTTACTTTCACTTGTCGTATACCTACCTATTATAGACATGCTCATTTATTTTTTTTGTATGTATTTTTTAGTAGTCCAGGTTTCAACCCAGACTGCTCTACCTAGCCACCTACACTGCATTCACTATAAAAAGGTAGTAGATGGCGCTATGTTTGAAGATAAACACACACAGGAAAAATATAAAACGGCACCAAATTATTGTAAAGAAGAAATATCCATACTGCGAACAGAAATAAATCTTTAACATTAACAGTTAATGACACTTCAGCAGTTTAGTTGGCAACATAAACTACCAGCTTACAAAATTCACCACTTGTTTTATGTTTCAGTGTAATACTGACTCGTGTTTTAGCCAATCAGATTGAAGGTCAAAGCTTCCCTATGCTTTCTACCGTTACCTTCTTAAAATGAATACAGTATAATATACACTTATGCCCGGTTTCACAAACGATGATTAACGTTAATCACTGATTAAAAATATTAGAATGGAAAACTCTGAGCGTATAATCAAAGGTGGCTAATATTTTTAATCATTGATTTAATAATCGTTTGTGAAACCGGGCATTAGTCTCATAATTGCAAAACCACCCAAAAATGAAAACATCTCCATGATTACGAAATTGTTTAATAGAATATTTGACACGTGGAAGTAAGTATTGGCAACATCTTCTTTTTTTCAGGTTTTTCTTTCCCCAATTCTAACTTTGAGGGCCGAGTTATCCATCTCTCAATAAATGGTGAATAAAAGTCCTTTGACACAATTAATTATCGACACAATTGAGGTGGATATCGCGGCCCTGTAATTGCGAATATTACAATTCATAAATACCTGATCCTTAGTTTTATTGACAGTAGCATTTGTTGGACTGGCACTATTGTCGTCGTCATTTTTAATCTGCTCAGGTACTTCAGTACTTTGTGAAGGAGGGGAGGGTGGACGATCGGTTTCCATCGCATCCGTACTAGTACTATCGACTGGCGGTTCAGTCTCTGCAGAAGGAACACTTTCAGTCGAAATTGCACTAGTTTCTGTAACCGAACTCGGTACACTATCAGCAGTAGCCGCCGCCATTGTGATCGTCGAACTATCTTCAGGTTCCGGCGGAGGCCTGCTTTCCTCATCCGAAGGTTTACTTTCGTTTGATTCCTTTACGCTCTCTTCGGGTTCAACGGACGCTTGTTCTAGTACGGTTTTTGCCTTTTCGGGCGTTGATTGTACTTGGATTTCGGCAGGCGGTAATTGGGGAGGAGGCTGGATCGATTTTTCTATAACTATCGGCGTTACGTGGTTCTGTGAAGGCTCAGGTTTGCTTGCAATTTTGATATCGGGTGTTCCGTTCGATTGAGGCTTCTCTGTTGGTGGTGTAGTTTCTGTCGGTTGAGATTGTGGTAGTTGATTTACCGGTGGTGTCATACTTGTCGTTTTATATGAATGTCCAACGTTGCTTTGATAATTAGGATTGTAGGATAAATTTTTTGGTGAAGGGGAGAACGTGGAGGGTGGTTGAATGTGTGCTTGTGTTGTGTTTGGTACAGGATGATTACTTACAGGTGCAGAATGTGTGTTAATGGGGATATTTCCGCTTATCGGGTAATGTTGTGAAGCATTAGGGACGTTTAAAGAATAATGGTTAGAAGGATGCGCTGTATGGACATTAGCGTTAATGCTATGCACCTGATTGTGCACACTGCCAGAGTTCGGTGCATTATGCGGTATATTAACAAGGTTTTGTGGTATATGGCTCATCGGTTGACCATATGTGGTCGGTGCTCCCTGAGTATGCATGGGTTTATTCAACTGCGAAGGTACCGGCTGATTTTGCACACCGGAAGGTGTTAATGCTGGTTTTAAGGCTGAACTCATTCTGTCAAAATTTGTAACCTGTAAATGAAATCTATATTTAATAACTGTCATCAACTAACACTGACAAGACAAACCAATTGTTCAAGGGCAACCTACTATTACTGCTACCCATTTTCCTAAGTTTCTACTCTTAACTGAAACGCATTTAGCCGTTAAACCGCTGGAATGCAATCAGTCATCGGCTACTAGATATAAACAGCCAGCGTGTATTGTTTACGCTTATAGAAAACAGCTTGGGGGAGCGTACAAACATTACGGTCACAACAACATTGAGCAAAAATAGTCTATTGTAATAAACAACTGAGAGAATAATATAATAAATTTGTTTTTCACAACTACTCACCAATAACTAGCATTTTATACAATATTTTTTAATATATCATACAAATTTATCGGATACTTATGGCGTCCAGCACCTACTTACATCAGGATTGCCAATTGCCTTGTCATAATCAAGCATCTCTCTCGCACTCGACAACACGACCATCTTTCATCAATGTCAATACAAGTAGCGGCAACGTCGCATTTTGATTGAACAACAATACCCCCGTAAAACACTAGAGGGGATATCAGTGGGGGCGTTTGTTATTACATAGACATTCTCTTTTCTCTTATGCATTTTCTCCTTATACATTCGAACATGTACTTACCACTTTTACTAAATATGTCAGTTGCAAAAGGTTTTATGACATGTTCAAAATTTCGTCAGCTTAGTATCAATATTTTCTTTATGTATGATTTTTTTCCTTTGATTTACCGACTAAAATGTAAAATCAAAATTTGAAAGTGAAAGGCAACTGGATTGTAAACATCTTAACAGTGGCGTAGCTTCATGGGTTATACGTCCTGAAATATAATATGGCTCCACTTTTCTTTATGTCCTTGACGAGTTTTGTATTATATTTTACCCAAAATCGTATTTTAATACCTATAACATTTCAATTTTCGTGTACACCTTTTGATTAATGTCAATCCGTCAGTCATTGGCCCGTATGAATAAAAGTGAGCAAATGCTTATACTTGGGGTACACCTAAAAGGCCGGATACTTACCAATTTTTAAAAAACGCGCCCGATACTCAACAGTCAACCTCAAGGGTAGTGTGGAATTATCATAGTAACTATTTGTAGCTATAGGTGGGCGTTATAGCAACAATATCACCGAATTATTTACTCATTATCGTGTAATTATGTACTTTTTGAGAACGCAACGTTCTCGTCTAATAAGCACAGCAGTTACCGATCGTAGGGCCATTTTTAAACAACTTCCCAACATAGACTTTCATGTTTTATTTGTTTTTCCAAAAGGCCATTACATTACATTATCAAAATTTTGTATCAGTGGCATCGCGTAACATTAGCTATATATTAAGACCGTTTTGATAAGAAGTTTCTATACCTACATATTCTCGAATAATACGCTGCTCTATTACTTTTAGGGCAATTTTTAAAAACCTTTCCCGACATAGACTCGATCTCTCATAATTTATTTTTTTTTCTTAAACGGGATTACCTAACATAACGTATTATTATAGAAAAACTCCTTCACGTCTATTTTCAGGTGTCTATTACGTTTTCACCATCCGCTTGACGTACCTAGGTACCCATCATGATTCCTTTACGTAATTTTTTTTTTCAATCTTCTTTATATCCTCTTGAAGTCTTCATAACGTTTCGTTTATTATCTTCTTAAGTTTTCGTCCCATTCGCCTGCGTTGTACTCCCTCTCCAGCCTTCTTTACCATTTCCGTTAAGCTTCCTTCATTGTTTTTTCAAGCCTGTATTACGTTATCCTTCATGCATATCTTTCATTTGTGTCCCTTCTGTTACGCAGAGTCGGATTTACGTACACCTTGCGGGGCCCGCAACCCCCTTTGGGTTGCAGAATACTTCTGATGTACGTAAATCCGGCCCTGCTGTTACGCTTCTGTTACACCTCGTTCATCATTCTTCACGACTTGTTCCTTCAGACCTTCTTTAGACTTTCTAACTCATGTTTTCTTCACGTTCCCACTCTTGTCTGCTTCACACTTCTCGCACGCCTTCTTTTCCTTCAAAATTTTTTCCCGCCTTTCCAACTTTTTCTCATGCTTCATCAATCAATGACCTTAAACTCTTCCACAGTCTGCGGCTCGTTTGGCACTGAGTCCACTCTTCATTGGCTTAACGATCATGCACCCTTCAACAACCCTCGACATCCTTGTAGTTACGCCTCTGCTCTATATAAAACCGCGCCAGCGCAGTATTTAAAACGGGATTGGCGCGGCGCATCTTCAGCTGTCTTTTATGCGCATTGTGGTGATCCTTTATGATCTATGGTTTCCGTTTGTTATCAATTAAAATGGCGTTTCCTTTATTGTTGTTTTTATCAATGGAATAATTTACAAAAAAAATTACTAGGTACGATACTTTCACATTCCGACAATGTAAATTTTTCAAAGGAAAAGGAGTAATCCTCGCTTGTGACATCTTTAAAAAAAAATGTATGTTTTTTAAAAAATGATTTTTATTATTTCAATTTATTTACCACTGTTGAAATTAAAGGTCCGGCAGTCCCAACACAAGCCCACGAAGTAGCCCGAAACCATCTCCTCGACCACAAAGTAAGAGAGATCATTCACGTTCCGATACTCACCTTTCCGTTAATTACAAGGAACAAACTTCGGGACTGTTTCATAGGCATGACTCGTCACCTGTAAGTTGAAATTTTGTTCATTTAATTATTGTTGGCCATTTGCACTTGTAATAACAGCTTACTGCATGGGTCACTTTGTGACTATACAAGGGAAAGCATTATTATTTGTCTTCACAGATTTGTACACGCAAGCAACAATATTGTTTTAGTAATATCAAGTAACCATGGCAACCTTTTTTATCATTCTGTAACTAAGGGCTAGTTGTACACTTGTACTTGTACAAGATGTCGAGGAATGTATTTCCCTTTTTAAAGAAAGTTTAAAAATTTATTCAGTGAACCAAAGTACACACAATGTAGATGCATTTTATTTTTTAAGAATCCCCAAAATTTTCCATGTTCCAGGAAATTATCCGATAGGTATTCTCGCGTATGATTAGGGCGTTATGCGTGGGTGCACCGTCCTGTTAAAACCAACAGTTTTCAACTTTGTGTTTTTTTTGTGTGCCGTACATCGTTGTATCAGTAATAAAAAAATGCTACTTAATACAGCATGTACTTCTTTACGGGCCATATAAAAAAAGAAAGTTCATGGTTTCTCCAAAACAAAACATTGTATTGGAAATCTCTCAACGCTGTCTTGTAGAGCTTAAATAGTGGCAATCAGAAATTGTTTTTTTTTGTATCTCTTCAAAAAATAAAAACGAAATTGACCAATTTTGAATTTTTTGCCATATATTCGGAAGTAATCAGAATTTTCTGGTTTTCTTTACAGCATTATAATTACTCTTTAATTAATTAAAGATGCCCATAATTAGGTACTAATTTATAAATACATTTCCAATGATGCAAATAAAATACATAATTCCTGTAATAGCGCATTATCAAAATGGCACCATTATTTCGAGAACATACTGGTATTGTGCCTGACAGATAAATAGTAATTTTTTTAATCTGTTAATACCTCTCCACTACTCCAATTAAGGTTATCAAAAACTTTTGGAGATTATACATTTACGGCATGTTACTAATAAAGTTTTTATTGCCACTCTCCTCACCAACACTCACCAGATAATATTATGAATTTAAATATCTAAATGTGATATCTTTTGTTTTATAGGGGACCTATTTGAAGTGATTTATTTATATATTTTTGCTACTTAAGAAGGTACAGTTAGGATACCTTTGTAGAATCTAAAATATCTTAATTTTGATAATTTCATCGGGGACATCCTGTGATTTTCGCGCCGTATCAGTTTTAAATGGTATAAAGACATGTAACACTAGTCAGTTTAATTCGTTCCTGCTTTTTGTAAATAAAAAAGGTTTTTGTGTTTTTTTGTAATTTTTTTTATATTTGTTTCCGGAAGTGTATGCCAACTACCAACATAAGAGTAAGTTTGGTTTTTTTTTCTTTATTATAATGTACTTTACAACCTTGCATAAGCATATTCTTTTATGTTGTCTTTCAAGAGGAAGGGCATGATATCTCGAAAACGAATGGATCAATTATGATTAAATTTTGCATGTGGATTCTTTATCAAGTTTGTAGATCGGAGTTCGTGAATTGGCAATGTAGGGCAAAAAATAAGGAAGGCCCTTTTGACTTCTCCATTAGTTATGAACCGAATTCTATAAAATTCAAACTGACATAGCTTTAGCCATATACGCAATGCCAAGCTATACCCATACCCAGGACCTCGTTTGCTAGATTTCTTTAATTTATTATGTTTAAGAATTTATGTCATTTCACACCTCTATACAGGGTGTAATTTAAAAAACGACGCAAGCTGTAGCTGCAGTTTTTGTCTGAATTAAATGCAACAAAAACCATATTTAATGACTGCAAAAATACTACCAATAGATTATGATTAAAATGTTTTAAATTATTGTTTTCGGGCTTAAATTTTTTAAATGACGTGATTATTCTTTCTTGATTTAATTTGATAGAATTTGCCTCCCTGAAATCAATTATTAATATCAAAGTTACTTTTGATTGGAATTTTTCACACAAGAAAAATTAAAGAAGTTATTTTTTCAAAATTTTAGAACATACCATGGGAACAATAATTTAATGGCTGTCATTACGCTTTTGTGTAGTTGCTACTTGATGCTTTGGCATATGCCTGGCCTCTCTGCTCTGTCTGGGGTTTTGTCAGAGGGTTTTCCACAAACGTACGTAGCTACGCATAATGCTAGCATTATATTGAAATCTACGAGGCGAATGCTGGAGCAGTACTCTTCCCTCTCAGTAGACAGTAGGTACCCTAGATTTCTAGATAATCTTTAAATGATACAAGATAAGATAATTTGCTACTGTGTTATATTTCCAAGTTTACGTTAAAGGTATATCAGCGTGGTCTTTGTACTAATTTGAAGAAACATCTTTTTTTGTCTTCTACAAATAACCTTCCGGTGGTGGAGTTCGTGAAGTACTAAATTAGACATTATCTATGGAACAGTTTGAAATGCTAATTTGTGTGGGAAACCCCCGCTTAATATTGTCATTATTTCTATTGTCAAAAGAATTTCAGTAATGTTGTCTACATTAAGCACGTTCCAATTACCCAATTTGCAATAGGAGGAACACCCAATTTTTTTTTAATGAAATGACACATTTACTAAAACGTAACAGGCGCTTGATAATGGAAACACTTTGGTAAGATTTAAA